TGCTACTGTCAGCCTGTCCTGCTGGGGCCCACAGCTAAAACGCAGGCCTGGCAGCCGGCACTATAGTAGATCTGACCCTTTGCTCTTAAAGGGGCAGCCCTCTGCTACTGTAAGCCTGTCCTGCTGGGGCCCACAGCTAAAACGCAGGCCTGGCAGCCAGCACTATAGTAGATCTGACCCTTTGCTCTTAAAGGGGCGACCCTCTGCTGCCAGATACCTGCCTGCAGTACGTGGCAGAGAGACGTGACAAAGTTTAGATAGAACTTCAGACATGATTTAATGTACTTATCTATATATTACGTAACATAATTAATAGTTACAGGAAACATACATAAATCCCTTTGTCTAATGTTCAAAAACTACTTTGAAACTACTTATTTTTAATAACATTTTTCACCAAGCGTAATTGCTTGGGAATTTTAGAGCGGGTGTCTTAGTTTTGAAATGGAGCTGATGATAAAGAGTCTTGGAGAGATTAAAGGACAGCACTTCCTGTAATTATGTAGCACTTTCTGTAATTATGAAGGACCTTGGGGAAATAGGTTGGACAATCTACTACGTGACTTTTAAAATCCTACATGAAATGGTTCTGTCATTTTCCAGATCATTAGTGCCATTGTTCTATGTAGTTACAGTTCTAACAGCATTTATATAACAAAGGGCTGTTTGATTTCATGCAGCATTTTTTGCAATTTCTGTCTTCCAATTAAGGCAAGTTTTATGCATTTGAAACCAAACCTTTTCTGTTAGTGTACTCTGTCAGGATGGGTGGCACATTTTCAAAGGAATAAAGCCTTTCAAAGAAACAACTTTTGCAACATTCAAGCTTTTCAGGGTTGCATTTTATTTGCTGTAAAAATAAGTGTGAATCCTCGTCAAAGGAGAGCTTAACCTGAATAAATGTTAATTGCTTGACCAGCATCGACCCCTAGCACTTTCCAGCGCTTTGGAGCAGTTGCCAAAGTAAATCACATTGCGTTGTAATTTTCTACATCACAATTTTTACGGGTTCTGCTGAGCTGAAACGGTCCTCATTGAATTACACACGCAATTAGCATTGCGAGTCTTTCATGTTTGCCGAAAAAAACAGTGAATGCAATTTTTATACAACTGGTTCATCCAAGGCATCCTCTTTTCATTTTCATGTACTTCAGTGTTATTTTTTAAATTTTGACTTTGTTCTGGTGAATCCTCTGGCTCTGAGACAGTCCTACACTCAGTGTCTCACTGGATGACTCCCCCCAGCTCACAGATATGGCCGGGGAGGGGGCTTAAGTGAAACAAGCTGCTGGCATGAAGAAGGTCTGCAAATGGTGAAAAAAAATCAGAGTCATACGCTCAGTTATTTTCTGCTCTTATTTTTAGATCAAGGTTGCCAACGACCCTTAGCTTAGCAGCTTACCACAGCAAACTCCACCAAAAACACGGCTTTGCGAGGGAAGACACTCAGGACGGTTATTGGTGCCAACATATCAGCTGCAAGTTTCCTTCCAGTAAATTCAAGCAAATTTCAAATTTCTTTGAAATTCACATTTCTTTTCTTAGAAAAGTCCTCTTTCGGTCAGGAAAGATTTTGCGTGGGACCCATCTGTCAGCTACATTATGTGCCTGGGACGCCTACATCATGCTGTCAACACCCCCATCAGATCCTAGGAGATGTCTGTGGTGTTTCCTCCTGCCAATGGCTGTGAGGCTGGCTCTCTTCATTCCAGCTGAAATCACTGACCAGATCATTTATTTTCCTAGAGGACTTTGCTGTTGACCTCAGCTCTGAGATCATTCACATGTTGAAAAGAGCCAGAGTTCAGGTCCCCAATCTGTGTGCTACCTCTCACCACGGGTTTCCTTTGGTCCCCACAGAACCTGTGTGGTGCCACCACGTGCGACACGCTGGGAATGGCGGACGTGGGCACCATGTGCGACCCCAGAAGGAGCTGCTCCATCATCGAGGACGATGGACTGCCTTCGGCCTTCACCACAGCACACGAGCTGGGTGGGTCGACAAGGCGGCTGCCGTGGGTCACCCTTGTTATGCCTGTTTGTGTTTATTACCTGAGAGAAAGGGTGTGATGGGATTTGGGGGCTGGTTTCTTGCACAGGCCATGTCTTCAACATGCCCCATGACAACGCAAAGGCCTGCGAGGAGAACTTCGGCCAGCTGAAGGAGAACCACATGATGTCTCCCACACTCATCAAGATTGACCGCAACAAGCCATGGTCCACCTGCAGCGCCACCATCATTACTAACTTCCTGGACAGTGGCCATGGTCTGTCTGCCCCCCCCCCACCCCCATGCTCATCTCTTTGCTGTCCTCTTTGTGCCTCTCCTACAAATTTTGCTCCGATTTTTCTACCACAGTAAATTTAGACTGTTACTTTCTGAAGCCACATATGTTTGACAGATCTGTTCAACTGGGTACTCAGGCAAATTACTCAGCGTCTGGCAGCAGGTAAGCACAGGGGCATACTGAAGACAACTAGAAATGCAGTATTAGCATCGCTACTCTGAAACAGGTCTTCATAAATATTACAGGTCATCTTAAACTGACCCCTTTGTTCATGGGAACCTCTGAGAGAGCAACTTGGACTCGTTAAGCCAAGCATTGTGGGCACCTAGAGAGTAGTGAGCTGCAGAAAAGGCATGGAGGTCTGGCTGCCTATGAAGAAGCAGCTAGGCTGCCTTCACATCATCTGCACACCACAGAGGTTCAGCCCACCTGGTATATTAAGCTACCAGCTGAGATGGATTCAAGGATTCAAAGATTTATTTGTCAGATGCAATGTATACAGTCAGACCATAACCAGCAGTGAAATGCAAGGTGGTCAACTGCCATAAAAACAGGAACAGAAAGACATATAAAGGAGAACCACAGCACCTCCACTGTGTCCATCTGTGGCTTTCATCTGTGGCTTTCGTCTGCTGCAGTCCAGCTGTCAGCCGATGTTATTTAGATGGAGCAATCAGGATCCCTTAAGCATGGCTGTCTGGATAATAAACCGACATCAGCTTTCTGTACATTAGGCAGTGGTTAGCTTCATTTGCTTACAAAAAATAATAAAAATAAACAGTACTCAGGGAATGTCTGTGCGCAGTTTCCACTTAGCTTTCAGGGTATTTTATATGCGGCTAACCTATGTTACTTTAGACATAATAATGTACTGAATGCAAGAAGTAATTACTGGTAATTATAATTAATGCAGTTAAAAACTAACATGCTGGGGCTGCCTGGAAGTGACAACAAACAGTCCAGCCATGCTGCTGGACCCATATGAGTTACGGGTAGCTGATGGACCTGCCTGAGTTACGGGTACCTGCTGGTCACATATGACTTACGGGTAGCTGATGGACCTGCCTGAGTTACGGGTACCTGCTGGTCACATATGACTTACGGGTAGCTGATGGACCTGCCTGAGTTACGGGTACCTGCTGGTCACATATGACTTACGGGTAGCTGATGGACCTGCCTGA